TTTTTTTTTTTCTTTTCTTAGTTAATCTTGTGCCAATCGACGAGAGGTGTACTCCACATCGTACTATATTTCTGTATTCCCTTCCGCGCTATTCACGCTACATTGAATGCGTTTGAAACATCGTGTTAACACGTTCGTTCTCATGTTTAAATACTTATCATATATTGTAACGTTTTGCATTAACGTTTCCTTTTTCTTTCTTTTTCGTCTTAATATACAACTTATTACGCTTCTTTTTATCGTGATAGGTTAATCACAAATAAAAAGTCACATTTGAAAACTGTATAGCATGATTTTTTTTTTTTCTATTTTAGGTGTGGGTAGATTCTCCCGTAGGAGCCATGAGTTATCAAATGTCTTCGAATCAATCTAGACCAAGTGAGTAATTCTTTCATTTTATTCGTGTTCAAAAGTTACACAAACAATTTGTATTACTTTGTGCAAAATTAACTTTGTAGTGTCTCACGGAAATTATCAAGGTTTGGGTGATTTACCCATGGGCTCTGCCAAAGAACAAACTTTAATGTGGCAACAAAACTCTTATCTGGGTGACTCTGGAATTCATTCTGGTGCCGTTACCCAAGCACCATCTTTATCGGGCAAAGAAGACGATGAGATGGAAGGTGATCAATTGATGTTTGATTTGGATCAGGGATTTGCTCAAGGTTTTACGCAAGACCAAGTCGATGAAATGAATCAACAATTGAATCATACAAGATCTCAACGTGTTCGAGCAGCAATGTTTCCAGAAACATTGGAAGAAGGTATAGAAATTCCCTCTACGCAATACGATCCAGCTCAACCTACCGCTGTTCAAAGATTGGCAGAACCAAGTCAAATGTTGAAACATGCAGTTGTCAATTTGATAAATTATCAGGATGACGCAGATCTTGCAACCCGCGCGATACCTGAATTAATAAAATTGTTAAATGACGAGGATCAAGTCGTTGTATCTAAGGCAGCAATGGTAGTCCATCAACTTTCCAAGAAGGAAGCTTCTCGTCACGCCATTATGAATAGTTCACAAATGGTAGCTGCCCTAGTCCGTGCCATTTCAAACAGTGATGATCTCGAATCGACGAAGGCAGCAGTTGGTACCTTGCACAATTTGTCCCATCACAGGCAAGGTCTGCTGGCTATTTTTAAGAGTGGCGGTATACCTGCTCTTGTGAAGCTTTTGAGTTCCCCAATGGAATCCGTTCTCTTTTACGCAATCACGACACTGCATAATTTACTCTTACATCAGGATGGTTCCAAAATGGCTGTACGACTTGCAGGAGGGTTACAAAAGATGGTCGCTCTACTTCAACGTGATAATGTCAAATTTTTAGCTATAGTAACTGATTGCTTGCAAATTCTTGCGTATGGTAATCAAGAGAGCAAATTAATTATATTAGCTTCTCAAGGGCCAATAGAACTGGTACGCATTATGCGTTCATACGATTACGAGAAGCTTCTATGGACGACTTCGAGAGCATTGAAAGTGTTGTCCGTTTGTCTTAGTAATAAACCGGTGATAGTCGAAGCTGGTGGTATGCAAGCACTTGCGATGCATCTCGGTAATCCAAGTCAAAGACTCGTCCAAAATTGTTTGTGGACGTTAAGAAATTTATCGGACGCTGGCACCAAAGTCGACGGATTGGAAGGTTTATTACAAAGTCTTGTACAAGTTCTTAGCTCTACCGATGTAAATGTCGTCACATGTGCCGCTGGTATTTTGTCTAATCTGACTTGCAATAATCAACGTAACAAAGTAACGGTATGTCAAGTGGGAGGTGTTGACGCTCTTGTGCGCACGATCATCTATGCGGATAGTCGGGAAGAGATTAGCGAGCCAGCAGTATGCGCGCTTCGTCATTTAACGTCACGTCACGTGGAGGCAGAAATGGCACAGAATTCTGTCCGCCTAAATTATGGAATTCAGGTTATAGTAAAACTTTTACACCCGCCTTCGCGTTGGCCGTTGGTTAAAGCGGTGATAGGATTAATTCGCAATCTGGCACTTTGCCCCGCAAATCACGGCCCTCTACGCGATCACGGCGCGATTCATCATCTGGTCAGGCTTCTGATGCGTGCTTTCCCCGAAACACAACGGGTGAGCATCGCTTTCGATGCTATTTCTTTACTGATCATATCTGGGATGCGAATAAAAAAGATTGATTCTTCTTTAGCAGCAACGCTCATCCGTGGCAAGTACTGGAAGCCAGCAAGCGTCAGGTGCGTACGCAGATGGTGGTGTTCGAATGGAAGAGATAGTGGAGGGTACTGTGGGCGCACTTCATATTCTCGCAAGGGAATCTCACAATAGGGTCATAATTAGATCTCAGAACGTGATTCCGATTTTCGTACAGGTTTGTAAATATAAAAATACCATTTCTTTTTATAATTATCTGCTTAAATTCTCTATTGATTATTCATGTATCTGAATTCGTTTTTTTCTTTTTTTTTTTTTGCAGTTATTGTTCAACGAGATTGAGAATATTCAACGTGTCGCGGCTGGTGTACTCTGCGAGCTTGCCGCGGACAAGGAAGGTGCTGAAATGATCGAACAAGAAGGTGCTACAGCTCCTTTAACAGAACTGCTTCACTCTAGGAACGAGGGCGTCGCGACATACGCGGCAGCTGTTTTATTCCGCATGAGCGAGGATAAACCACAAGAATACAAGAAACGACTGTCCATGGAACTTACCAATTCTTTGTTGCGCGAAGATACGAATCTTTGGAATAACGCTGACTTTGGGATGGGTCCAGATCTACAGGTATGCAAAAGTTCACGTTGTACCGATGCATGTTGTCTCGCTTATGTCGTGGTTAAATTTATTTCGTTCACAACAAAACACTTTGTAACATAGCCCCGATTTTTGGTTTTTTGTTTTCATCTAGCGGCATGTGCTGCTGCGATAAAATTTTTATTCACGCTATTATTTACCAGCTTTAAAATAGATTGCAACAATCGTACAAAGTAAGCCGATTTGCGAAACAATTCGTCATAGGTTCGTATTATATTAATTCATTCAACGTTACTTTCCTTTACATTTTGGTTACATCGTGTTATAAGTAAATTGAGCCACGAGGGCATAATAACGATATCGTAATTTTATCTCGATTAGTAACAGCGCATAATCTTTCCCTCATGTAAGTTTAGAAATGTGTACCTAGATAGTTTGCAAATGTGAATGTCATCCATTATTCCACTTTGCACAATTTAATTAATATTGCATATATATATATAT